TGAAACACGTGTGGAAAGAAACAGTCATCTTTTCATGTCCATACAGTTACACAGTGATGCACACCTTGAAAGGTTAGTCATGAATCTGACTCATGATTCAGCAGACTACCTTGAGAAAGGACAGGTTCTTCCAAAACCACGCACAGAAAAATCTTTTTCTAATGGCTCTTTTTAAAAGTCTTTTGTCGCCCTATTTTTATCTTTTGTGCCCTCCTTGACATTCTGTTCTCTCTCTGTGTGTTTCACCCACTTGAAGCTCTGCAGTTAGGAGCCTAGGTGGCAGATTTTTCCTGGAAGTATTACGGACAAATGCGCCTGGAAGTAAAGACAGAGGCAGAAAGACAAATGGGTGAGCGATGGAGATAGACAGTATTTGTTAGGAGCTCAGTTTCAGTCCTCCCTCCTTCCCTCCTTTGCAATACTCCAACTCTGTCAGTGGTGTATTCAAGTAGGAAGCAGTGGGCATACTGTCAATTTACCACCCCCCTACTCCCAAATTACAATGAAATGGATGCACTTCCTTTGAAGATTAACTCATTCTGTGGTGTTTTAATGTTGTAGTTTCTTGGTGTTCTGTTCTTCTGGTGACAAGTTACACTAGTCTTTTTCTCAGTTTCTGTGATGACACTGGTCTTAGTTCACTTCTGCCATTTGAAATCTCATACACATAGTGTGTGTGTGAAATGTGCTAGAACAAGACAGGGGGTTCTCCACTGTCTCTGGTTCATGCTTAATTCAGCTTTGGGCATTGTACACAGACACATTCACCATGTTTTTGAGCTCCTTCTCACCCCAGTCAACTCACCTTCCTCCACTGACTTTGAGGTGCCACCTAGTATACCTGCTCCCCCCCTCCTTATTTAAACAGTGTGGTCTTTTCACTTCCTTAGCATGGGTGAATGCACATAAAGGAGTGGGTTTGTTTAAAACTTGTTGACCTGGTAGAATGCATTTCTGACATACTTAACCAAAGGAAGACTTTATTTGTAACATTTCCAGTTTCTAACTTACAAATATTAATTCATTTGATATGAATTTGGTAAAAGCACAATTACATATGACTTATTCTGCAGTATTTATTTTCTTAATGTGTTGTGTAAGGATGTAAATATGCAAGCAAAGGACTATAGGAGGACATTCAAGAAAAATTTGGAATCTTTCATATCATGATTCCTGGCACTTCCTGGTACAAGCTTTTATTTTGGTAGACTTCCACTCTCGTATTTACTCCCTTTTCTCAGCTGTCTTTACCTGCTCTGGTCAGCTCCGCCTTCTCTCACCTGTACCTCATCAGTGTAATCAAGCTGGACTGCCACATTGTAGCTGATGAACATGTCCTGTGTTTGCTTGTCTCAGTTTTACCTGTTGCTTCTCTTGGACACTTTCCCCCAGTTTGTACCTGTGTTTGTTTTCTTTGCTTGTCTCAGTTTTACCTGTTGCCTCTCTTGGACACTTTCCCCCAGTTTGTACCGCTGGATTCACCTGCACATGGATGTTTTGTTATTCAAAACCCCTAGTCAGTATTTGACCCCTTTGTTATGGCTAGTTGTTCTCTTTATGTAATTATTGTTGTGTTTTTGTCTTTGTACTTAACCAGTCTACTTAGTTTGTGTGCTCTGCAGTCACTCTAATCCATATGTAATGTGTATTACTCTGGTTTCCCTGCCATATATACAGTATGTACCTGGATGATTTATACTTAAAACATACATGCAGACTGGCGATTAATAAAAAACATTTTGAAGACAGAACTCAACATGGATGGTCCATTGAAGCAGCGTAGACAAGAAAATGTTGAAATAGTTTTGCAGGTGCTTTACCAAGCTGAAAATTTACTCAGTGGTTCTGACCATTATACAAAGTACAGAACTAAATATTAAAAGATCACTGATGATGCTTTGGTTGGGTGGCTCTTACAATTTCTTCTGCAGTTAGGGATGAATTTTAGTGTACTGCTACTTTAAAATCAGCTAAGTGTTATTCTATGTCCACTCTATAAGTCTGTGTGACAGACACAGACAAATACATATGGCAAGTGTTGACACAACAGATTGTCAGTCTACCATGGTGTAAATGTACGTGCTGTAAATACAAAGCGTGAAGTATCATATGCGTGCGCACACAGAGAGCCACACCTACTCATGAGATTCTGTAACCCATTTGTGTAACTCACCCGTGGACCCTTGAGAGGGTGTGAAGGCTTGAAAAATGCTGACTGAACCTGGCTATGAGTAAGGCTTCTGTTTGTGTGTATAGCTGAACGGAGGAAAATTGACTGATTCACTTCCAACCCTCTCTCATTGTGTCAGCAGCTGCTTTTCTTTGATATTGTTATGAGTGGGAGTGGGAGAGAGATGGTGGACTTCAGGAAGAGAATATTAGTAATATGAACTGCTACTGTGCAGCGCACGTGTCACCTACAGTGTGTAAATGTTTACGTAATAATAACCAACCAGCTCCAAGTTGCTTGGGCACTGTGTTGCTCATGTCAGTGTCAGACTAGTATTGTAAAAGAAATGTGTTTGAGTTTTAAAACTGATGTAACTTCTGTCTACACCATTTGACTAATATAAGAACAGAGTGAAAGCTGAGTGAGTAGTAGGACATAGCAGTGATCCATTGAGACATTATGTGACAGTACAGTACCAGGTTATTACAGTACCTTGGCTCTAACATGGCAAAGCATAGCAACATCACTGGTATGATCTAAGGCTGTGAAATGAATACACAAAACTGTAATAAAAATGTCTCTGCTGCAGATCTGTGTTGCCATATGAACAGTATTAAGTACATAAGATTTGTCCTGTATGAGAAGATGTCATCTTACCAGAGTGCACACATCTGTTCAGTACATTTCAGCAGATTCAGAACAGATTCTTTGTGCATACATGAAAATTGCTTCTTCAACATGAAAGGCCATAGAGTTAACCCAGAATATTAAACGCCGTTCTTTAGGGACCATAAATATCCTCAGCAGATTTAATGGAAAGCTTCCTATTAGTTTTTGACATCTTGGGTAGAAAGTTGACAATTTGACCTGAGGGTATCCCAAAAGGAAAACTCATGGGATTCTCAAAATGGAAATGGTTCAAGCATGAATGTACACTGCATTTGGGTAGAGTTCCCTCTGAGCTCAGATGACAGCCCTGGTCTGGGCTTTAAAGACCACATTTCCCTAGGAGATGCATTTTGACCCCTGTTATGGAAACACAGAGTTTTAAAACTCCATTTCAGTTACAGCAGTTTTGAAGAATTTCATGAAATTTTTATAATTTTTACTTCCATGTTATGAAGTCTAAGGCATAAACCAGTAATGGGACCACCACAAATACGTGTGCCCCACTTCTAAGAATACTTTTATGCTTGTGAAGGTATTTTACTAAGCGAAGACACCGCATAGTGCACATCTTCACTGAGGTCTGTCTTTTGTGTGGATTTTTTTTAGTTTTCTTTAGTTGTAACTTCATCTGCTCAGATATTAAGCACACACTGGGAAGATGTTTCAAATCTGCTTCAGTATTCAGACTGAAATCCTGTGTGATTATGTGTCTACTACACATATACACAGTGTATGTGCTAGGTGTAAGAGGTTAGGGTTACACTTAGTGTATGTGTTTGTTTTAGCATCTGCAAGATGCTCAGTGTGCACATGTCGGTTGCAAATGTGTAAGCTCACCAAATGTAGCCTCAGCGTGTATGTGTATTTGTGAGCTCTTGTATTCTCACATGCCTGCTTACTGTGCTTAGTCATGGTCATGTACAATGCACTGCTCTTTCTCCTTTTAACTTGCAGGGGAGGAGCAGGATCAGCCCAGTATTATTGCTGAAAATGAGATGTCACACTCACTTCAGTTTGGGGCAGCTGGCCAGGCTCTCTCTAACTGATTTAGGCTGTGTGGGTATGTCTGTGCATGTGCGTGTGTTAGGGAGAGAGTGAAAGTGCTGGAGGGAGACAGATAAAGCGAGGCAGAGAGGAAAGTGATAGACCAATAGAAAGAGCGAGAGAAATTGAGGCTGTGTGTCAGTTTCTCTGACAGTTACATGCACAAATTATTCATAGACAGGCAGTGTGTTGTGTACTGGTGGCTTGAGGTGTGTTGTGGCAGGTGTCCTGCTTTGTGACTAAAACTGGAAAATAGGTAGCATCTCATTAGATATATAATATCAGTTGCAGATTGGACCAGCTGTCATCTTGCACCCTTCTGATGCATCATCAGCCATTATTGTCATCATTATTGTTGTCATGCATTTCTGCTTTGTTGAAGTTAAAGTAAACCACAGCAGCTGAAGTGAGAGAAAGCGAGTGGGAGTAAAAGAGGGAAGGACAGAGGAAAGAGAATGTACAGTAAGACGGAGAGCACAATAAATAGACCAGTGGATGGATAGATGGATGGATTCTTCCTCTGTTGCTTCGTTCCTTTCCCAGCTCTTGGCAGTATAACTTCTCATGCAAGTCAAGGGTACAATGCACATTTATTCACAGTTCTGATGTGGAGAAAACAGTATGCTGCTGAGACGCCCCCCCCCCCCTCGCCTCATGCATTCACATTGGCACGTCCCTACATTTCTATTTTCTTTTGAAATATCTTAGTGCTTCAGTTATTTACTGATATTTTGTATTCTATTAGACATTACTGTATTTTCCCACAAGGTATTACTCGGTATTACTTTGTAAATATTAAATATACTCTTGTTAGATTGTACTATGACTGCCATTTATATGAAACTTAACTTTGAATAATTAACATTCAGATTTAGTGGCATGCTACATAAATGGACAGAGCAAATTGCTTGTCAGTGAAGTAAAGGGATTGTGTGTAATGATTTAAATGTTGCTGCCCATGAGAAATGAAATAATAGAGAATGTTTCTGAAATGACTTTTTGTTCTTGTAAGTTACCCAGTGTCATTAAATTCTTTTTTCATTCTAAAGTTGTTGTTTTTTTCATTTGTATTTTCCATATTTCAGCTACAGACTCCATTTTGTCTCCTGGAACCCAGGTAGCACCACAGAGGACCTGTGCCTGTGCCCACCTTGGGTTCACCTTCCCTCACCAGAAAACCTTCAAACAGGATACATAACTAGATGAGAGGAAGGACCTGAAGAAGACAGCTGAAGAGTGAGAGGAAGCAAATAAGGGAGGAAACGGGTAGGAGATTGGATTTTGTAAAAAAAATAAATAAATAAATAAAAATTCCCTTCCCCCCTGTTTTTGTATTAATCCAATGTTCTCGGTTTGTCATTTTTGAACATAGATTCTATATTCCATGTCTGATTCACATTCATTATGTTTAAGTCAATCACCATGTTGGGATATACCCGACATGTTTGACTTTTATCAACTTGTACTGTCACATATGCAAAACATACTAGTAATGATAAAACCTTAAGCTGACCAGAATTCAGTGTTAGACACATGTGCTCTGTTTTACAGTAGTCTGATTTTTCTTGCCAATGTGTGTGTCACGTTGTGTGAATGTGCAGTGCATGAATGTAAGTGTGTTTTTAGGCTTGCAGTTTAGCACTGGGGTGAAAGCATTAGTTAGTGTCTCCACAGGCATGTATTATGCCATCTTCTATGCTCTTATTGTACTTATTTTACTGGCAACACTATCATTAGCGCCGACAGTACCTAACGTATCACAGCGATTACATTCTGTATGTATGTGTGTGTGTGTGTGTGTGTGTGTGTCAAAAAAAGATAAAGTAAAAGAAGTAATTGCTATAATTATTTCTTCTCCATTTTCTTCCTGCCTACTGTACTAGCAATGAGGAAAATCTTGCCACTTTATGGAGAATGTAATGCAGAGTAAAAGCAACTCGGTTTATTCACCTTCGTACTCTATCTCCATTTTATAGTGTCATTATGTTAATTGCTATTGTCAAGAATAGTCTGTGATCTTGACAGTGGCATCACAAAGGGAGCAGTCCCTTCAATAGTTAAAGTGAGTAGGAATTAGACAAATCAATATGCTCACTTTGTATAGATGTGTGCTGAATCCTCAAAAACCAAAAAAAAAAAAAAAAAAAAAAACAGCACTTAACTTGAATTGTTGATTCATGCATCGCATGGGGGTGTCGGGCAGCTGCTCGTCCTCAGCAGAGGGCTGACATGCAGTTATAGCCATCTCATTTACTGTGAAAAGACTGAACCAGAACAGCAAATGTCATTGCAGTAAAGATTAAAACCCAAATCATAGAGCTTGTATTGTCTTGTATGTTGTGTTAATTTACTGCAGCCTCCTCTGCACAATAAATACTGTGGCTAGATACAAAATAGTCTTGTAATCTGGATTGTGGGAAGTAATTATGCAGGGTTGGAATCAACAAATATGCTTTTGTTTAGGTCACTCTCACAGGCTCAGTAGGACAAAAATACAGACAGACAGGGCTTAATATGTGTCTGTAAATGAGGCAAACAAAATGAAAATGCCATTCATTTGTTGGAAGGTGGGTGCAGCAAAAATAATTTATAGTGTTTTGTCAAATATACCTTTATATAGGTCAGCCAACTGAATAGGCATGTTAGTATATACTGTAGGTCAGCCAACTGAATAGGCATGTTAGATGTCTCTGTTTTAGGGCAGTGGAATGTTCTAACATATTATGATGCATGTTCCTCAAACACAGACATGGTTTCAAGCATAATGAATGTGCATGGTGCACATTAGTTTTATCATACACTTAGCATCTGTGGGCATGACCATAGCATCCTTACAGTACATGCACCAGCAGTCACTATGAGCTTGAGCCTCTCTGTTGGACCCAGTGTTGTCTCCTCATGGGGAGGCCACTGATGCACAGCAGCAGCTCAGAAATCCTCTGCAGTGGACGTGGTAACAGCTCAAATATGGACATCAACTGAATAAAATGCTGTTCATTAGGTGGTAAACCCTGACAGAAAAACAACCAAACATTTAAACTGGATGTGGTAATACTCCACTTGTACTGTATGTTTGTATGGGTTCTGAACTTTGCAGGCCTCTCGTTTACTGAAGGTGATGAAGCAGTGGTGTTTGGACAGATGGAAAGGACATGGAGAGAGATGCAGTATACAGTACTGTCATGAAAACGTAAAACTACTCTATCAGCATGTCAGGTGATGATGCCTTTCAGCTGTAACTATATTGAGTTTGGTTTGAAACCTTAATAATATTAAGGTTATCTTATACATCTCAGCACATGTGACATTCTGAAGGCTTATGAGTCCAGAGCTGAAGCCATTTGAATCGATTTAACAGTTTTGATATTTATGTTAGTGGCTACTTATATTTTTTTTTATTTGCTTTAATGTAATAAAAATTATTCTGTCTGAAGGCCAATGAAGACAAGGTTATTACAACAAGAGCCTGAGGGAAATGTACAGCAGGCCACTCATGTTAAAACATACACTTATTATTCTGGAGGCGTCCAGTGTAACTGCAGTTTACCACTGAGTTAACAGGTTGAGCTGAATTTTAGGTTTAGTGCCTTTAAAGGCAGTTTAAAATCACTGCAATAGGTTGAGGGAGATTCACAGTTTTCTCTGTGTGTATGCATGTACATCCTCACAAGCAGGTGTTTATTGTGCACCTGCACTGTGGACATGCAAGTATTTGTGAATGACAGTGTGTGCTGCTGTGTCTTTGTCACAGCTGTAAGAACTGTATGTACATCTGGATTTAGTCCAAGGCCGGCTGTGTAGACTCTGCTCGGAGTTGAGTACATTTCAGCTGAGGCCTTGATTGCGACTTGTGTACTAACACTCAGATCCATTGAAAATGGTCTTGTGTTCACCCATACTGCTGCACACGCACTCACAGTGCTCACATGGAGTGAAATACATGTTGATAGTGTTGATGTGAAGTGGAATGGCTGAGGCAAGGGGTACAAAGTGGGGCGGATACTTCATTGTGATGTTTTTACATGTGCCACAGTTTCTGCTTACATTTCCAATCCACCTCATTTGATCATCAATCTAGCAAATCCTACTTTAATTATGAGCCATGCCTTCTCCTCCCCTACGTTCAATCAGAACAAATAAAACAGCCTTTTCACCTATAATGGGATTATTGATTGGGTGGCAGCCTGGAACTGAGACTTTATGTATGTCTGGTTATACTGTATGAGTGTGTGAGGCAACTAAGCGGAGTGTGCAAGTATTTCTGTGTATGTGTTAGTGTATAATACTTTGTAAGTGATAAATGGAAAGACATATCGTGTGTGTGTGTGTTGTCTGGAGTTCTGTCTGTGTAAGTGGGTACTCCCATTGAAGGGCTGAAGGAACAAAGCAGTAAATTACCTCACAGTTTGTCTCATCAAGTGTGAGACATGTTTTACTGATGAGTTCTGAGCTTACTGACCCATGTGCAACGAGATGATCATTGCTATGCTTTTCCCATTATCTCAGACTTCAAAGTGGCTGTAAGTCGTTATGTGTGAACACTTCTTGACTTAAAAACACAGGTTAGTAAAGACTACTGCAGCTTCTTGTTTATGATACTGTCTGCACATGCAGATGATGTTCTGTAAGATGACGGTTTCACATCCTCCCATTGTTGTAATTTGCTCTAAAAATTGATTAGGAAAAACCAGCGTCTACGAACAATGAGTGTACAAACTTTTTTCTCTTAAATATGTTTAAACACAAACTAATGTCACCACAGGTCTTGGATTCATCTTCAGCTTTTTTTTGTTTGTTTTAACATGATTTACTTTTTATTCTCACCTATAATAGTATTAGATGGACTGTTCCTGCATGTGTGCACTGCGTGACCGCTGATGTCTGAGGTGGAAGATTTTAATGAATGTCTCTAGCACCAATATCAGTCGAACATTTGGAATGTAATCATGTTCTGACTCATTAGTCATAAGCCCACACTGTTTGCATGCCCAAGCTTTGGCTATGTTTGTAAAACTTCAGTGTGATGATCATGGCAAAGTAAAAAAGTAACAACCTGGTGTTGTCATTAGGCATTAGCAGAGCGTTTTCTGATGCCTGTGTGTAAAACTTTGTATATTGTAGGCAGAGAGAAACACTTTCCTACCTCGTGTCTTCTTTCTCCTCTGTTCCTGTCATCTATCCCTCTGTTACTCTGTTTGCACATGCAGGCCTCAGCTTTAAAAGTCAACAGTAAGGGTAGAGAACAAGATTTACAGCAGAAAAGGAAGACACTGTTTCTGTGCATAAAACCGTCTGCACTCAGACCTCTTCTCTCTGTACCTTTGTGTGTTAATCTGGATCACAGGGGCATCTTCTTTCTAGTTTATCCTGCTTTCTCGCTAATAGGCTGCATATGTTTTCACCCCCTATATCTGTTAGTGAAACACAATAGCTGGTCTTTTGTTTTGTACAAAAATAAACTAATACTTCTGAGGATCTTTCTGTTCCTCCTTGTCTCTCTCTCTCTTTCTCACTTACACACTTGGTCTTACTCTCCTGTTTCTATCTCCTGCAGGGTTCCTGCCTCTCCCACTCGTTTTTTGGCATAATGTGGCAGTCGCTGTGCCAGAATTTTGTGTCTAGCGTTTACTAATCCTGCTCACACGGGGTGACATCACTAGCCCTGTCTCCTTTGATACAGTATTCACACTATAGCTTATCTTCTATGTTTGTCTGACACAGAAAGAGGAAAGGATGATGAAATCTGTTATGTTGTTGTCTTGTCTCATTCTTAGCTCTCTTGCTATATTTATAGATGTTTCTGTGTTATTTCACCCCCCAGCAATGCATTCATACACACACGGGTGCATTCAGAAATGCAGAACAGACGGTACACACAGATGCATACGCAGATATGCCCAGTGACACAGAAGCTATAACACATACATGCCTTCAAAACCTTATGGTGAAAATTGAAATAGACGAGTAAAGACAGCATATGATAGATGGCACAGCAAGTTAAAGAATAAGGTATAGAGTATACTCATAATATGCCATGATATCATGGCTGGTCTCGACCTAATTCTTTCTCTCTCCTACAGTAAACTCAACTTTTTAACATTACCTCATATGTTTGCGGCTCCTAACATCCTTCCTCACTTCATCTTTCCACTCTTTGAAGTGTAAATCTGCTTGCCAGGGCTGTTGCCTAATGAAGCTGCGACCTTGAAGTAATTATTATTATACACACAAGTGCCTTGTGTGTATAAAAGTGCAAGTGAGAACTA